AACTCCTCTCCCTTCCCCTCCCCACAACAGACACCCTGTGAGGTAGGTGGGGCTGAGAGAGCTCTGACAGAAAAAGCTCTTTTTCAAGAACAGCCCTTATCAGACCTACGGCTTGCCCAAGGTCATCCAGCCAGGTGCAAGTGGAGGAGTGGGGAATCAAACCCGGTTCTCCCAGATTAGAGTCCGCGCACTCAACCACTACACCAAACTGGCTCTCCAAGAGAGGCCTGCCAGCTCTGGACTAAAGCAACACAGCTCACGGTGGGCTCTGAAGATCATTCCAGAGCGTAAGAACATACAAACATAAGAACGTAAGAGAAGCCATGTTGGATCAGGCCAATGGCCCATCCAGTCCAACACTTTGTGTCACAGTGGAAAAACCCAGGTGCCCTCAGGAGGTCCTCCATCAGGAGCAGCCGTACTGGACTGCAGGAGAAGAGTTAGATTCAAGTCCAGTAGCGCCTTAGAGAACGAAAAGATTTTCAGGTTGTGAGCTTCCGAGACTCAAAGCTCCTTTCGTCAGATCTTACAGCTTTGACTCTTGAAAGTTCTACTGGTTTCTAAGGTGATTCTAGACTCAAACTTAGCAGCCTTGGAGTACCTGAGAGTCAGTCTGGTGTAGTGGTTAGGAGCATGGACTCTAATCTGGGAGAACTGGGTTTGAATCCCCGCTCCTCCACATGCAGCTGCTGGTGTGACCTTGGGTCAGTTACAAGTTCTTTCGGAGCTGTTCTCTCACAAGCAGTTCTAGAAAGGGCTCTCTCAGCCCCACCTGCCTCACAGGGTGTCTGTTTGTGGGGAGGGGAAAGGAAAGGAGATTGTAAGCCACTCTGAGACTCCTTCGGGTAGTGAAGGGTGGGGTATAAATCTAGTCTCTTCTGAAGAAGAAGAAGGTCCTCAAGTAACCTCCACGGAACTGAGCCACACCCAAACACATCCCTCTACACGCAAGATAGTTTCACAGTAACCTGCAGCTTACGCAATCAGGTGTTCGTTTGTGAGCAGGGCACCACAATGTGTTAAGTTCGTGTACTCTCAAATGACACATCTATGCTACTCTGATTTTAGGAAGTGGGTCTGACATTTTTAACCTTTCCAAATCCTGCAGTCCAGACACAGGGAATGTCAAGTTGTGCAAAGGCTGTGACGGTAACCAGGAGGAACACCTGGACACATGGCCGACATTCAACTGTGCCCTCAACGTGCAGGCGGGAATGTGGCAACTGCCACACCGTACGCGCCTCTAGAGTCTGAAATAAAAAAAAAAAGTTATCTAAGCGATGACCTCTCTGCCTGCGTATAGCATTTCAGGCATCGCTGGTGGGGGTGGTCTCTCATTACAGTAGCCCTATTTTTTTAAAACACCTGCTGGCACTCCTACTTTGTAACGCAATAAGTCTTTCATCACGGTCCATTACCACACCCTGGCCGCGGGCCAAGGTGTGGGCTGCCTCCAGAGAGTCACGGAAAACAACATCCAAGCGGCCCTCTCAGGATGCCAGCAGCGAATCGACTCGGCCCTGTTGCTGGATGTACAAACGGCAGAAGGAACGGTGCAGGGCTCCAGGAGGAGACTGCGGTCGTTGATACTGGACGCTTTTGTGAACTGTCAGTTCTTAGTAGACCATACACTGAACATGAGTCAACAGTGTGAGGCGGTAGCTCATAAGGCAAATATGTTTTGGGGGCTGTATCAACAGAATTACAGTGTCCAGATCATGTGAAGTGATGGCATTGTTTTACTCATAAGGCAAATATGTTTTGGGGGCTGTATCAACAGAATTACAGTGTCCAGATCGTGTGAAGTGATGGCATTGTTTTACTCTGCTCTGGTTAGCCATCGCCTAGAATATTGTGTTCAGTTTTGGGCACAGGATATAGGTGGAACGTGTCCAAGGGAGGGCGACGAAGATGGTGAGTGGGTGTGGAGACCAAGTCCTGTGAGGAAAGGTTGAAGGAGCTGTGTATGTTTAGCCTGGGGAGGAGATGACTGAGGGGTGACATGATAACCATCTTCAAGGACCTGAAGGGCTGTCCTAGAGGATGGTGTGGAGTTGTTTTCTGTTGCCCTACAAGGTCGGGCCAGAACCAACGGGTTGAAATTAAATCAGAAGAGTTTTTGGCTAAACGTGAGGAAGAACTTCCTGACAGTTAGAGCGGTTCCTCAGTGGAACAGGCTTCCTCGGGAGGCGGTGGGCTCTCCTCCTGTGGAGGTTTTTAAACAGCGGCTAGAGGGCCACCTGACAGCAATGCGGATTCTGTGAACTCGGGCAGATCACTAGAGGGAGGGCAGGAAGGGTTGCATCAGGGCTTACGTTCTTGTGGCCCTTTTTTACACGCCCAGGGAAATGCTGATCACCACTTTGGGGTCTGGAAGCAAATTTTCTCCAGGCCAGTTTGGCCAGGGATCCCTGGAGGGTTGTTTTTTTTTTTGCCATCTTCTGGGCCTGGAGCAGGGGTCACTAGGTCTGTTTGTGGGGGGAGGTATTTATGAATTTCCTGCATTGTGCAGGGGGTTGGACTAGAAGACCCTGGAGGTCCCTTCCAACTCTATGATTCTATGAAATGCACGTGCTGTCAAGTGTGAGATGTTTTGGCTGAACATGTAACTACTCTAGAATTTGGGTTCGACAGGTCAGGTTGCCTTCTCAAACAGTGGTTTGCACAATTTAGTATAAAATTTAGGTACCAACCAAACGCCATATGAAAATGATTAACCTGGAATCCTCGTCGGCTCTTGAATAAGGCAGGATTCTGGGAGAAGTATCAAGCCCCCACAGTTCCCATAGGAACAGAGTGTGACCTTTCATTCCTCACCTGAGCACTAATTTGGATTTTTATAAAAGACAGCCTCAGCTGTAAGTCTTTTTAAAATAACCTGGTTTACAATAAAATCTAAACGACTTTCTTTGGGTGTAGTGGTTAAGTGCACGGTCTCTAATCTGGGAGAACCGGGCTTGATTCCCCACTCCTCCACTTGCACCTGCTGGATGACCTTGGGAAAGCCGTAGTTCTGACAAGAGCTGTCCTTGAAAGAGCAGTCCTCGAAAGAGCTCTCCCAGCCCCACCCACCTCACAGGGTGTCTGTTGTGGGGAGGGGAAGGGAAAGGAGTCTGTAAGCCGCTCTGAGACTCCGAGTGAAGGGCGGGGTATAAAGCCAATCTCTTCTTCTTCTTAAAACTAGTTTGGCCAGCTCCAGGATGGAAAATTCCGAAGGGATTTGGGGTGTCAAGCTTGGGGAAGGGATGGACGTCAGGAAGGTATAATGTCACAGAGTCCACCCTCCGAGGCAGACATTTTCTCCAGGAGAACTGATCTCTGTAGAAGAAGTAAAGATCAACAACTTCAGGCCCCTACCTAAAACTGAGTTTACAGTGCTCTTATGAAAGGCCGATTTTCTTTGTGAGGACAACTGTGGGGGAGAAAGATCATCTTTATCGATCGCTTCACGTGCTTGATGTGACCAAGGGAGAAACGGGGACTGGCAAATTAAAACAGAAATATTCTCAAACCCGCCCCCCTCCCCAATTCCATATCCAGGTTAATGAGTTCATGAGTTCAGGGGTCGTTTCGTAGAAAAAGAGCCAAGGAAACTCATTAGCATAACTCATTAGCATATGCCACACCCCCTGACATCACCGGAAGTGTGTCATAAGGCCACACACCCCGCCCCCAACGGTCCCGGCCGCCGCCGCCACCGGCCTTGCAGCTCCACTGCCAAGCCCCATGAGGGGCCCGGCGGTGGACCTTATAGCTAGGGGCTCTGGGGCAAGTGATGCTCTGTCTTCTTGGTGCTTGGGGGCGGGGGTTAACAGTGGGAGGGCTTCTAATGTCCTGGCCCCACTGCTGGACCTCCTGATGGCACTGGTATTTCTGGCCACTGTGTGACACAGAGTGTTGGACTGGATGGGCCTTTGGCCTGATCCAACATTGGCGTCTCTTATGTTCTTATGTTCTTAACACACACCCCCCCCCGCGTCTCTGATCATGAAAAGGGCAGAGTGCTAACAAGGGGTTTTCATTTCACCAGCCCTTTAGATGGTCTGCTTCTATTTTACACTGCTTATGTCCAATTACTTGTTCTTAATGGCTGGTTTTTATGCTGTTACCTTGTTTTCGTTGTAAGCTGTCTCTCGGGCAGGGCTCTGAAGCAGCGGCACAGAGAGATCTGAAATACATACCTACAGTTTCCAGTCCATTAGACTGAGCGTGAATCTCCCTAGCAATCGGACTGCTGGTCCATCAGCTCTCTCTACTCTTGTAAGTGACCTCACAGCCAAGAGATGCTCAGTATTGAACCTGGGACGCATGAACACATGAAGCTGCCTTCTACAGAATCAGACCCTTGGTCCGCCATGGTTTGTACTGGCTACTTAGACTGGCAGCAGCTCTCCAGGGTCTCAGGCTGAGGTCTTTCACATCACCTACTACCTGGTCCTTTTAAACAGGAAACGGCAGGGATTGAACCCGGGGCTTCGTCGTGCCAAGCAGGTGCTTTACCACTGAGCCACGGCCCCTCCCCTTCCGCATGCACAGTAGGTGCTCTGCTGACAAGCCACAACCCATCCTTTTGCAGTTAAAAATACCTGGCATGCGATTCCGGTAGTACCAAAGGTAGAATGGCAAGAAACAAGCGAACTCAACTGAGTTAAAGCATGCTTAGGTTATGCAACGTGGCCTGTCTCAGCATACACAGTAGAGGCTCCCCGGTTACAATCTCGCATTTCATGCACATTTAAAGCCAGTGAATTATCAGTTATTCTATATGAGCAGGACGGAGCTCAGAAAAAAAATCTGAACCCAGTGATTTTTTCTCGGTTACAATCTCGCATTTCATGCACATTCAAAGCCGGTGAATTATCAGTTATTCTATATGAGCAAGACGGAGCTCAGAAAAATCTGGACCCAGTGATTTTTCTTTTCTTTAAAAAACTTAAAACTAAGCATTCTCAGATGACAGCATTATGAGACCGACCCCTTTTTGGGTTGTTTACGGTTACCTGTTATTCAAGCAGTCTAGGCATTAACACAGCTGGGCTCCCCTTCCTCGACCAGTGCAAATGCAGATGCACAGAAAAGTGTTTTGTTGCACGGGCACCTTCTATATTGAGGAGACCGACAAACCTCAGGGCATCTTAAATGCAAAAAAGGAGGAAACAATCAGCGCATTATTTGCTATCTTTATGACAGTTAACAGAGATAACATGTCAAGCGAGAGATCCCAAATCCCTCCCCTCCCTCCCCTCAAGCCGTTTCCAACCAAGACCTCTCTCTCTCTCTGTCTCTCGCTCTCTCTCTTCTTGCTACAGTGACCCCAAAATATGTGCCAAGCGATCGCGTGTTGTGCTCAGCCCTTTCGAGCGCAATAATGAAGCAGTACTTTAAACGAAAACAAAGGGATTATTTCTCACCTATCATAAGTTTAGAAAAACAGTGCTGGCCTCAGATACTGAGTTTGGCAAGAGCTCAGTCGCAAGGGGTCACCAAAAAGGCAAACATTTGAAATGGCGTGTGCACTTTGAAGATTCACAGACTGACACTGCAGTGGGGCATCACGGCCGAGAATACTGTCTTGTCTCTGTGGGGCTGACGTTACCAAACAAAACTCACTCGGTGACTCATCTTGCGGGATTCGAGTCGTCGAGCCGATTTGTGAGCGCTCGCTGTGAAATACGCGGAAAACCCAGTCTCAATGTTACACACATACCACTCGGCCAAAACTAAAAATAGGAAACCCGCATCCAAAAATAACCTCCAGTTTGGACAGAGGGTACCGAGCAAGTAGAATTGGACAGTTGCCATTTCAGCAATCGGACAGCGGTCATTCTGTGGCCACATTCTGCTATGTTTGGGCATTTATCGGCAAGGGCAATTCTTTTTCCAGAAGGCAAGAGTTGCTGGAAAAGACAATAATACTTGGGAAAGTGGAAGGCAGTGGGAAAAGAGGAAGACCCAACAGCTGATGGATTGACTCTATAAAAAAATTCTTATTTTCTAAGACCTGAGAGCAAGGCTGTTAACTAGAGGACGTCTTGAAGGATGTTAATTCATAAAATGTTAATTTATAGGGTACTTTATAGGGTTAATTTATAGGGTACACAATTCTTTCCCCAAAAGTTGAAAGCCATTTTCAGTGGAAGAAGACTTCTCTTCCCTTTAACATTTTAAGCAAATTTCAATCACGCAGGCACTGGTGCGGCAGCTGGTGAGTCTTCAAACAACCTGTGTAAGATTTCTATGCAAGCTGCATAAATTCTGCACTGAGCACATGCAAAAATATCAACCGGCCTCCTGCTTTTGACTTCCCAAAATTACAGTGGTGATGCTACATCAGCAACCTGACTATGCTCAAAGCATAGAATATGGCCCATGCAATATTTTTATTGGAACCAACCCGACGATGCACAGCAGCGTGCAAGATTTTCAGCTCACCAGAATTGCTCAAAGTATCCCTCCCCCACAAAAAAATGGCTAATTAAAAATATTCCAGGCAAAAGTAATCTCAGGCTCCGGTCACACGGGCTGGAAAATGCGGGGGGGGGGGGGGGGGGGTGGTTGCAACGGGGC